TAAATAGGGTGTCAGAGAAGGGTGTAACTTTTCCTCATTTGAAAACGTCACCAGGAGACGGCAAACTGTGGCGTTTGGTGGGTGAAATTTTTGCCGGGGGGGGGGGGGGGGGGGGGGGGGGGGGGGGGGGGGGGGGGTCTATAAATGAGGTATGTGCGCCTGCTACGTAGGCGAGGCTTCTGCGACCTAGTCGATTAGGGTACTATACTGGGCGAGTGGTCAGCGCGTCGGACTCGCAATCCGGCGGTCCCGAGTTCGAGTCCCGCTGTAGCCACTTGCTGGATTAGTTCTCGGTCGTCCCGAATTCAAATCCTCGGCCACCCTTGGGGTTTTTAATCCTGTTATGTTGTACTTGAATCATTTGTTTCCAAGTATTTGAGTGGAGAGCCTGTAAACTATCTGTATAAGCTAAGTGCACTTTCCACTAAAAATAAGCCTGTAAACCTTTTTTTTTTAACTGAGCAGACTGTATTATCACAGGAGAAGCCTATTCATGCAGCGGTTTCCATATACTCAACTCAATCGGCAATTAAATGTCAGAAGCGACCTCGCTAACTGCTGTGTTTTTCGTGTATACCTTCGGAGAGAAGGAAGCACAGATTTTTCCTTACTGTAAAGAGCTTTGTGTGTCACAGACGACTGCAAAGTGGGAAACCTAGGTCAATGACACAGTATTTGTAAAATAATGGGGTAGTCTTTATAGCTCCTCTCTTGTAACTTCTAACGATCGTCGTGCAGATAGACCTCAGCTCCATCCCCAGTCGTCTGGCATTAACGTAATTTGCGACTTGCACGCTCGGGGCTAATCACGCGATCTTTTTAAAAGAATGATATCCCGCTATACGTATTACAAATGAATATTTTCAGTACAAAATTGAGGAAAGCGCTATACTTAGTACACATATCGATCGGCTTCAACTGACTACTAAACTAATCAGCGATCATAACATTTTTCAGAATGTTTTAGGTCGACTAAAATAATTTCAAGAATAAACCAGTACGCTGGAGTTTGTGGACAATTTTTGCACAGTTCACATACTCTAATTCTTCCAATGTAGCTAAATCAAGAAACCTTTTTTGTACTTTAAATTTTGAATAGTAACTACTAAGGTAGCAGCTATTGACACAGTTAATCAAGTAAAACATTGCTAACATGACATGGCAATCGTGCATTATATCCAATACATAGGTACTTCATTTCTCAGATATGTCGATTTTAAAGATTGTGACGTTACCAAGAAAAGTTTATCTAATGCCCCTCTTTAGAAAATCCAATTTATAAAATGCGCCATATAAGGGCATAATACACATTATGTGCGCAATCTACATGTACTCGCGTCCTTCAAGCCTTTATACCGGNGCAGCTATTGACACAGTTAATCAAGTAAAACATTGCTAACATGACATGGCAATCGTGCATTATATCCAATACATAGGTACTTCATTTCTCAGATATGTCGATTTTAAAGATTGTGACGTTACCAAGAAAAGTTTATCTAATGCCCCTCTTTAGAAAATCCAATTTATAAAATGCGCCATATAAGGGCATAATACACATTATGTGCGCAATCTACATGTACTCGCGTCCTTCAAGCCTTTATACCGGGAGTTGCTCGGTCAAGTTGGGAGACATTTTTGTTCGTTAGTCCTTCTAGTTTCCCTCAGCAAAATAAATTTAAAATTGAATATTTGTACTAGAGGAAAGTTGTTTCATGATAAGTTTTAAATTCACGCTATAAAACTATAACAAATGAACTGTTTACAATTAACTTTTATGCAATTTTTTATAATTGCGCAATTCCCATCGCTCATTTCACAGTTGTCTTTTCCTTAAAATGATGCACAGCTCCCTTTGAAGTAAATGATCGATGTCGACGGAAACCCGCAGTATAGAGCAAATGGATAATTATAAATATAGAATTTTACATCACACTGGGAACATATATATACGGCGCACCTGCAGCAAAGTTGTTATCAAGCCATAGAGTTAGACGAGCCAGCAGTCAAGAAGCAAGTCACTGGTAAGGAGCGAGACTAAAACTTGTTTAAAGGTTTTTTGGAGTCCATACATTTATCACATCAGGAGCGGAAAACTCAAGTTGTTAAAATTCGTTACTACAATTGATTATGTATTTAAAGATTTTTCACTAGGGAGTGCTATCCATGTAACCCTTTGCAGCACAAAGCTTATTTTAAACATCTCTAAATTATTTAGATTAATTTGCTTGACTACAACTAATTCTTAACTGCTTTCTTTTCAACGTGTTTTGAAAAATAAAGTCACGATCAACCACCAAAATGGTAAGTAGTTACAATACTTGGATAAAATTGTGGATGGTCGTTGTTAAAGTAACTCCTAACTTTAAAAATGCCCATCCAAGTAGCAGTTGGTCAAAAAGGGTCGTTATACAATAAACAGGCATGGAAGTGATTAGAAATGATCAAAGCAATCAATCCTTATTTGAGAAAGCAGAATGTATAGCAAATTTTTCTGTTATCTCCCCTGGCTTACTTGAAACTCCTAATGTAATTATCAATATTTAAAAAATACCTCTCTTAGGTACCAACTTAATTTTGGCCTTTATTTTCTCAACTTCTATTAGAGAAAAATGCTTTATTTTTGGCATTTGTGTTCAGTTTGAGAGTGCATTTCAAGTAAGCAATTTTATAAGTCTGGTCAGTTTTTGACTTTATACTGAGCAGTTCTGATACCTTAATAGGTTATTTTAGATAATTAATTTTATTTTTATGTTGTGTTGATACAGTCCATGTCAGGGGTCCAAGTCGATGCTGAAATCAACGGTTTGTTCAACGATACGAAGATGAGAAGCACGCACAAGTTTGCATTCTTTAACATTGAAGGAAAGAAGAAAATTGTTACTGACGTGTGCGGTGATCCATGCAAAACTGAAACAAAAGAAGAAGATGAAGTACAGTTTAATAGAATGAAGGAGCAACTCACCAATGAGCCACGATATATTTTGTACGATTTTGGATTCATGAAGAAGGATGGCAGGTGAGTTAATAAGTTGGCATTCATCTTCTGGTGAGTTAGGCTGTTCTGTGTATTTTTAACTGGTGACCGCCGGGGCATAAAAACAGTTGCTTTAGTCTCAAGACATTTTAGGCTGGATTTTTTTTTTCAGAGTTGTAAGAGCATTTTATGTTATCCTAGTGAAAGTCAAAAATCTGAATCATAAGCGAAGGTAGCGTGACAGGCGTTTTAAAGGAAAGGGGAAGGAAATTCCGGGCTTGCGAGAAGCGCGAAACTGGCGAGCGTGGGGGAGTGTACTGAACGCCTGCAAGGACGCTATCATGGTCTGTCACATCTATCGAAGAGATGTAAGAATATTGATTACTTTAATTAATGATACCTTAATCCGGTTGATTGAAGTCAACATCAGGCTATTTAAATATGTTTGCGAGTGCTAAAGAAAAGCGACAAAAAGTGGCTTCGACAACTTCGTCTCCTCTCGAGTGCCTCTCGCGCGTCTACGTTTCACGATATCCCGCAAATTTAGAGTTTGTCGCAGGCTAACAGTTTCAGTGTCACGAAACAGTGTATTGATTATATCCCATATTACCTTTCGGGATTGTCACGTGCACCTTTTCCGACAACCTTTCTCGAAACAGCTGTATACGAGAAGGCCGGCGGACTCGCTTGCTGAGATCTTCCTTCGAGCAACCAAGATCTCGGCAAACGGGGCAGCCTGCCTTCTCATATAAACACAACAGCAATTTTATGAGGAAACAAGGCATGAGCCGAGCCAGCCCCATTAACATAAGCTGGTTCATCTCATCTCCCTTTTTTGTTTCAGGTGTGACGAAAATGCAAAGATTGGAGACAATGATCTACGCATCTTCTAAAGACACCATCAAAAAGTCCTTCACCGGTTTATCACTGGAATTCCAAGCAAACGATGAGGGCGATTTGGATTACAAAGCTTTAAGCGAAGAAGTGGAAAAAAGAGCTTTCTAGCAGACATCAGAACACGACACTCAAGCTTTTTAATTACAACTCTTCCTTATGGTTTTTGTTTATCTGCCGTTTTCTTGAGGTGACAAGAAATATCCATAACTGCCTCCCATTTTCAACATGTTATCGTCTAATTGAATTTAACAATGGCGGACGGCCATTTCGTGGATAGAATTAATTCAAACTTTTAAATACCTACTAATTTATGTTGTGATACCCTACCGTGGCATTCGTGGGAAAAAATTGTAAAACAGTGTATTCTTCCTGGCAAATTTCGATGTCTTGGAGACAATCATTTCACAAATGGTTACCGGTCGTTTGAATACCAGTTTACTTAGTCGAGGTGGAAACAGCTTCACGTGCTTGGCTTGAAGAACGGAGAATATTCAAACCAAACGTTTTTCTTGTTTACGCGAAAACTATCCTTGAAGTGATCACAATTTTTGTGTAATTCTACTACTTTAGGGTTGTATTGAAACGAGTTGTATCGAAACAGCTTGTAACGTATACTGCAGGTTTACTGGTGCACGTGTGTGTAATAACCCATGCTGGACATTGGTATTATTCCTCAGTATAAAACCAATAGAAAGCTAGGATTAGTTTCTCTTTTCTCAAGTCAAACCTTTGCGCACGCGCATTTCCTGAACAGCAGCTGGTAAATAATCCAACTCTGTGCTTTATATATGAAATAACTGAAAGCAAATAAGGTTTTTCAGGTGAAAGGTTTTATGTATAACTTTACTAGAATAACAAACATTAGAATGTTCAGAAATTAAATAAATATTAAAACACACATGGTGTAAGCTATTTCAATATTATTTTCATTGACACTAGACTACGAGCAGTCTCTCTTTTTTCTGTAGTACGTCGAGCAAAACGCGAGACACGCAAATGGCCACGCGCGTGACTGATGGCTGCCGCCCTCGTTTCGCGCGTCTCGCGGCTTCGCCGCTCCCGTGCGCGTGCATTGCTTTCACTAAATCTGAAGAAAAAGAGAGACTGCTCGCAGTCTAAATTGACACTAACTTATTTTTTAAAGGTTATGCTATACTTCACGAGTGGTTTGAAGACAAAAACCAGTTTCATCAACTTTACTGATTTAGATTGTAAATACCAACAGAAGTTGAACATAAAAAGTATCAACTCAAGGCCCGGGTACAAAGTCGTGTGTAACACCGACACTGTCTGCTGTTTTGTCAAGTTAATAATCCTTGGCTAACAGAAAGCTCGGTCTGTTGCCTTTAGTTATAGAACAGCCAAGTGAAANTTGACACTAGACTACGAGCAGTCTCTCTTTTTTCTGTAGTACGTCGAGCAAAACGCGAGACACGCAAATGGCCACGCGCGTGACTGATGGCTGCCGCCCTCGTTTCGCGCGTCTCGCGGCTTCGCCGCTCCCGTGCGCGTGCATTGCTTTCACTAAATCTGAAGAAAAAGAGAGACTGCTCGCAGTCTAAATTGACACTAACTTATTTTTTAAAGGTTATGCTATACTTCACGAGTGGTTTAAAGACAAAAACCAGTTTCATCAACTTTACTGATTTAGATTGTAAATACCAACAGAAGTTGAACATAAAAAGTATCAACTCAAGGCCCGGGTACAAAGTCGTGTGTAACACCGACACTGTCTGCTGTTTTGTCAAGTTAATAATCCTTGGCTAACAGAAAGCTCGGTCTGTTGCCTTTAGTTATAGAACAGCCAAGTGAAAACATAAAAGTTTCTTCTGGCCGGGAACGTTTAAAATGTGTACTATAGTACAGCAACAAACATTACTTTTTTAACAAAAGCAATTCAGATCAAAAGTAGCATCAGTCAAGTTAGCATATTGTTTGTTATTAAAATTATATTTCAGTATTTTGATCCTTAAAGAAACTCATAAGGTTAGAATCGAGCTAGAAAAGGTCAAATTATACAAGCTTCATTAGACTTGTTCTTGAAGGATGTTAAAAGTTTTCGTTAACAAAGTTAGCCACCTTTAGCCTCCTCTATCTTATTCAAAACGACACAGTATAATGTACCTGACCTTGTGGCCTTATTTTAATCAATGATATGAAGGGAATAAATAGAAGCAAATTTTATTATCACTGTTAGTAAGGTATCATGTTAGCTTGGTCGTTTTTGTAGCTTTAAAAATTTTAACGCTTATTATCAGAAGAATACGGCCCTGCTATCAGGCATGGTTTTAGCAATTACGAAGTCGTTCGCGTCGCTGACATTCGCGTGGTTGGCACTAGCCAACGACGCGAATGTTAGCGGGGTATCAGAGGAACGGCCCTTTTATTTCAATCGAATCTATGGATCTTACAGCTTTATAGAAATGCCACGAGAACTTATGAGGCTTAACAGGGTTCCTTTTGTCATTACACTGCATAAATCGCAAGCGAATATGCTGCAGAACATTACTGAAAAGGGGTACGAAAGATCTATTAAAGAAGACATTATCACCAAAAATGTACCTGGTAAACAAATATGTATTCCCTGTTGCCTCTCTGGCTTGGGAACAGGCTATAAAAATCACCATTTCTCTCTTGAACAGAACTGAGCCGAAGCCCCGATAGTCGAATCGATCGATCGTTTATCAATTGAAAGTTGAGACGACTCGCCCCATACTTCTGCTTCTACAGTGAAGGATCACGCGATCACGCTATTACTTTTAAAGATCTCACGCTGTAGCTACCAAGTCGAGCTTCACCTACATTCAATACATAAGTTTTTTAGTGTTATTCAGTGAAGTGAATAAGCATTTTGTTTTTCACAGACCTCAATGCAGTACGCATTACGTAACACAACAATTGTACTGGATTGTAATGAATATCGCAAAGTTTTCTGCACATACCCCTCTTACCGGAAGAAAGAGTTTTCTTATCTCTTTATTTAATTTTAAAACATGCAAAACAAAGTTGAATGTTTTTATTATGTAAGGCTTACAGGCGGAAAGCGAGAAGCATCTTTAATTTGTATGACGTGACATAATGCGTATCCTATCTTGGTAATGTATACAGTAGGGACAGAAGCGATCATAACATTTTTCAGAATGTTTTTGTCGAATGAAATAATTACGGGAATAAAACTGTGCGAGGCTATGGGAACTTTTTGGACAGTTCACTTAGGCCAAGGCCAAACGTCGAACTTTTGTTAACAAGAAGCAAACTCTAATTGGGTCCACCTAAATTGTCTAAATTAAGTTAAGATCGGGCGAACGAATGAACGAGTATAAATATACATCATCATGCAAAAGTTTAGTCTCTCGGTTTAGTTCGTCGCATGCGAAGATCGACGTTTCTCCCGAAGACGATGTTCACACGCTCAATTCTATCCGTCTAAAGTAGACGGATAGAACGGATAGAAAATTCAAACTCATTCACAAAGTTTGGTTCGTCTCTTGAAAAGTTCGACGTTTGGTCTAAGCCTTACTTGTCGCTAGATCTAGAGACCATTTTTGTCCTTTATAACCCTTAAATACTAGTTAGCAACTACTGACACATTTTATAAGGCAAACATTGCTAACATAACAAGGTAATCGTGAATTATATCCAATACATAGGTATTAAGCTTCCTTAGGTTTATCATAAAGTTCATGACGATTTTATGGACTATGACGGTAATGACGTGACGAAGAAAACTTTATCTATTATGTCATTATTCTATAAAAGATCGAATTTGTAAAATACGCCATATAAGGAGATAATACACCGTATGCGCGCGTGTACTCGCGTCCTTCAAACCTTTAGACCGAAAGTTGATCGGTCAGCATACCTAAATTTTCAACACTGTCGCAAATCAATTTTTAGAATTTCCTTCAGTAAAATTAATTTAGAAGTTGATTGTTACTACCAGAGAAGATATGTTGCATGACAACTTCTATATTCAGGCGATAAAACAATAACAAATCAACTGTTTATAATTCAGTGTTATGCAAATTTTTATCATTGCGTAATTCCCATCGCCCTGAGTCACGCTCCGTGTCTTTTCCTTAAAAGGATGCAATGAGCTCGCTTTAATTTCAAGTAAATGATGTCGAAGGAAACCCAGAGTTTAAAGCAACTGGATAATTATAAATATAGAATGTTACATCACACCGGGAACATATATATACGCACCTGCAGAAATGAAAGTTTTTATCAAGCCATAGAGTTCGAAGACAGCTACCAAGAAGCAAGTTATTGGTAAGGAGCGATGCTAAAACTTGTTTTAGTTTTCTTTGGAGTCTAAACATTTATCCCTTTAGGAGCGGAAAGCCCAAATTGCTAAAATTTGTTGCTACAGCTGATTATGTATTCAAAGATTTTTTGACTTTGAAGTGCTATTCATGTACACCTTTGCTCCACAAAGTTTATTTTGAACATCTATATTCAGATTAATTTGCTTCATCCCAACTTATTTGTAACTTCTTTCCTTTTAAGGTATTTTAAAAATTAAAGTCGGGGTCAACCATCACAATGGTAAGTAGTTACAGTACACTCACACCCTGGGCCATAGGCTTTTTTCAGACACGTAAATGCTTAGGAATGATCACCGCAATCGTTCTTTATTGTAGGAAGCAGAATGTAGCAAATTTTGCTGTAATTTCCCCTGCTTCACTTGAAATTCATACTGTAATTATCAATATTTCACCTTTGGCCTTTCCACAAAAATGATTCATGTTTGGAATTTGTGTTCAGTTTGAGGGTACATTTCAAGTAACCAATTTTATAAGCCTCATCAGTTTTTTACTTTACAGCAGTTCTGATACCTTAATAAGTTTTTTTTTAGATTATTAATTTTATTTTTATGTTGTCTTGATACAGTCTATGTCAGGAGTACAAGTCGATGCTGAAATCAACGGTTTGTTTAACGATATGAAGATGAGAAGCACGCACAAGTTTGTATTCTTTAACATTGAAGGAAAGAAGAAAATTGTTGCTGACGTGTGTGGGAATCCATGCAAAACTGAAACAAAAGAAGCGGATGAAGCACAGTTTAATAGAATGAAGGAGCAACTCACCAATGAGCCACGATATATTTTGTATGATTTTGGATTTATGAAGAAGGACGGCAGGCGAGTTAATAAGTTGGCATTCATCTTCTGGTGAGTGAGGCTGTTCTCTGTATTTTTAACTGGTGACTGGGCATAAAATTTTCCTTTAGTCTCAAGAAATTTTAGGCTGGATTCTACTAGCTCGACAGAGTCAGAGTTGTAAGAGCATGTTCCTTTTTTAACCTAGTAAAAATAATAAATCTGAGTGGTAAAAACGGTTCTAGGTGCAACAGAATTGGTAGCCTGCGTGACAGGCGTTTGAAAGGGGGGGGGGGAGAGGATTCCGGGTGCGCAAGAAGCGCGAAAGACGTGTGAGGGGAGTGTAGGGAACGTCTGTAAGGACGCTACGTGTTTTTTTCGTTTTTCACATCTACCGGAGTGATGGAAAAATAATGATTACCTTTATTAATGATACCTTAATCCGGTTGATTGAAGTCACAATGACATCACGCTATTTGAATAACTTGATCGATCTACTAATACCCATATGGCGAGTGAAGCCAGAATATCTAGAAACTACGATAAACTCAACCGTACCCACATACGGAGACGACGCTGGGATTTGAACCCGGGCCAAAATGGTGGGAGGTGAGTGCTCTTACCACTGCACCACCCCTGCGCCACCCTTGCTCCCTGAACTGATGTATCACTAATAAAAGTGCATTCATCAAGAGATTATTAAATAAAAATTAAAGGTGTTGGGTACATCTCTTTAGCTTTAGTTTGTATGATGAAGTACTCTCTTATTGCCTGGTTCTCATTTCTACTTAAGAACTGTTTATATGAGGTGAGGTCTGCTTGCTGAGATCTTCCTTCGAGCAACCAAGATCACGTAAACGTGGCAGCCTGCCTTCTCATATAAACACAACAACAATTTTATAAGGAAACAAGCCATGAGCCGACCCAACCCCATTAACAGGCTGAGCTGGTTCATCTCATCTCCTCTTTTTGTTTTAGGTGTGACGAAAATGCAAAGATTGCAGACAAAATGATTTACGCATCTTCTAAAGACACCATCAAAAAGTCCTTCACTGGTTTATCACTGGAATTCCAAGCAAACGATGGGTGCGATTTGGATTACACAACTCTAAGCGAAGAAGTGGAAAAAAGAGCTTAGATAGCAGACATCAAAACACGTCACTCAAGCTGTACAACTTAATTTCCTTATGGTTTTTGTTTATCTCCCATATACCGTTGAGATGACAACAAATATCAATAACTGCCTCCGATTTTTTAACCGTTATCTCTGATCGTCTAAGTGAATTCAACAATGGCGGACAGCCATTTCGTAGATAGAATTAATTCAGACTTTTAAATACCTAGTAATTTATGTAGTGATACCCAACTTGGCCTAATACCCTAACTTGGTGTAAATAGCNAAAGACACCATCAAAAAGTCCTTCACTGGTTTATCACTGGAATTCCAAGCAAACGATGGGTGCGATTTGGATTACACAACTCTAAGCGAAGAAGTGGAAAAAAGAGCTTAGATAGCAGACATCAAAACACGTCACTCAAGCTGTACAACTTAATTTCCTTATGGTTTTTGTTTATCTCCCATATACCGTTGAGATGACAACAAATATCAATAACTGCCTCCGATTTTTTAACCGTTATCTCTGATCGTCTAAGTGAATTCAACAATGGCGGACAGCCATTTCGTAGATAGAATTAATTCAGACTTTTAAATACCTAGTAATTTATGTAGTGATACCCAACTTGGCCTAATACCCTAACTTGGTGTAAATAGCTTCACGTGCTTGGAAAAACACTTTGCACTTTGAAGAACAAAGAATATTCAAACTAAATGTTTTAAAGCAAACAAGACAAAACAAAACAAAACAGGAGTCTTGTTTACGCGAAAACTATCCTTGAAGTGATCACAATTTATTGTCGTAATTCTACTACTTTAGAGTTATATCGAAACGATTTCTATCGAAACAGCTTGTATCGAAACGTATACTACAGGTTTACTGGTGTGTGTAATAACCGATGCTGGACATTGGTATTATTCCTCAGTATAAAACCAATAGAAAGCTAGGGTTAGTTTCTGCTGTTAAGCTGTTTCCTCAAGTCAAACCTTCGCGCAGGCGCATTTCCTGAACAGCAGCTGGTAAATAATCCTACTCTGTGCTTTATATAAGAAATGATTGAAAGCAAATAAGGTTTTTCAGGAGAAAGGTTTTATGTAACTTTACTACAATAAAAAACATTAGATTGTTCAGAAATTAAAGAAATATTAAAACACACATGGTGTCAGGCATTTCAATATTATTTTCATTGACACTAACTTTGTTACTTATTTTTTAAAGGTTATACTATACTTCACAAGTGGTTTAAAGACAAAAACCAGTTTCATCAACTTTACTGGAAGACCTCTTTAGGATTTAGATTGTAAATACCAACAGAAGTTGAAGATATAAAAAGTTTCTGTATCAGCTTAAGCCCTTTAGGGTACAAAGTCGTGTTTAACACCAACACTGTTTGCTGTTTTCTCAAGTCAATAATCTTTGGCTAATAGAAAGCTCGGTCTGTTGCCTTTAGTTATAGAACAGCCAAGTGACAACAAAAAGTTTTTTCAGGCCGGGAACGTTTAAAATGTGTACTATAGTACAACAACAAACATTACGTTTTTAACAAAGGCGATTCTAAAGAAACTCATAAGGTTAGAATTGAGCTAGTAGAAAAGGTCAAATTCTTTAAGCTTCCTTAGACTCGTTCTTGAAAGATGTTAAAAGTTTTTGTTAACAAAGTTAGGCATCTTTAGCCTCATCTATTTTATTTAAAACGACACAGTATCATGTACCTGACCTTGTGGCCTTATTTTAATCAATGACATGAAGGGAATAAATAGAAACAAATTTTATTATCACTGTTAGTAAGATATCATGTTAGCTTGGTCGTTTTTGTAGCTTTAAAAATTTTTACTCTTATGTTCAGAAGAATACCGCCCTGCTATCAGGCATGGTTTTAGCAATTACAAAGTCGTTCGCGTTGGTGACATTCGTGTGGTTGGCACTAGCCAACGACGCGAATGTTAGCAGGGTATCAGAGGAACGGTCCTTCTATTTCAATCAAATCTATGGATCGTACAGTTTTACAGTTATGACGCATTACACTGCAAAAATCGCAAGCGAATATGCTGCAGAACGTTACTGAAAATGGGTACGAAAGATCTATTAAGACATGATCACCAAAAATGTACCTAGTAAACAAATATGTGTTCCCTTTTGCCTCTCTGGCCTGGGAATAGGGGATAAAAATCACCATTTCTCTCTTGAACAGAACTGAGCCGAAGCCCCCATAGTCGAATTGATCGATCGTTTATCAATTGAAAGTTGAGACGACTCGCCCCATACTTCTGCTTCTACAGTGCAGGATCACGCGAGCACGCTTTTGCTTTTAAAGATGTCGCGCTATAGCTACCAAGTTAAGCTTCACCTACATTCAATACATAATTTTTTTGTCTGTCATTCAGAAAATGCATGAAATTACTTAAAATCTAAACTTCTGGGAAATGAGAGCGTGCTTAATGAAGTGCATAAGCGTTTTGTTCTTCACAGACCACAATACAGTACGATGAAGTATTACGTAACACAACAATTGTACTGAATTGTAATGAATATCGCAAAGTTTTCTGCACATACCCCTCTTACCTGAAGAAAGAGTTTCCTTATCTCTGTATTTAATTTTAAAACATGCAAAACAAAGTTAAATGTTTTTATTATGTATGGCTTACAGGTGAAAAGCGACAAGCGTCTTTACTTTGCATGACGTGACATAACGCGTATCCTATTTTGGTAATGTATACAGTAGGGACAGGAGCGATCATAACTTTTTTAAGAATGTTTTTGTTCACTAAAATAATTACGGGAATAAACCTGTGCGAGGCTATGGAAAAATTTTTGGACAGTTCACTTGCGCCAAGGCCAAACGTCGAACTTTTCATAAGCTAAGAAGAAGCAAACTCTAATTGGGTCGACCTAAATTGTCTAAATTAAGTTATGATCGTGCGAAGGAATGAACGAGTATAAATATACATCATCATGCAAAAGTTTAGTCTCTCGGTTTAGTTCGTCGCATGCGAAGATCGACGTTTGCCCGAAGACGATGTTCACACGCTCAATTCTATCCGTCTTAAGTAGACGAATAGCACGGATAGAAAATTCAAACTCATTCACAAAGTTTGGTTCGTCTCTTGAAAAGTTCGACGTTTGGTCTAAGCCTACTTATCGCTAGATCTAGAGACCATTTTTGTCCTTTATAACCCTTAAATACTAGTTAGCAACTACTGACACATTTTATAAGGCAAACATTGCTAACATGACAAGGTAATCGTGAATTATATCCAATACATAGGTATTAAGATTCCTTAGGTTTATCATAAGGTTCATGACGATTTTATGGACTATGACGTGACAAAGAAAACTTTATCTATTATGTCATTATTCTATAAAAGATCGAATTTGTAAAATACACCATAAAAGGAGATAATACACCATATGCGCGCGTGTACTCGCGTCCTTCAAACCTTAAGACCGAAAGTTAATCGGTCAGCATACCTAAATTTTCAGCATTGTCGCAAATCAATTTTTAGAATCTCCTTAACTAAAATAAGTTTAGAAGTTGATAGTTACTAGTCTAGAGAAGATTTGTTGCATGACAACTTCTATATTCAGGCGATAAAACAATAACAAATCAACTGTTTATAATTCAGTGTTATGCAAATTTTTATCATTGCGTAATTCCCATCGCCCTGAGTCACGCTCCGTGTCTTTTCCTTAAAAGGATGCAATGAGCTCGCTTTAATTTCAAGTAAATGATGTCGAAGGAAACCCAGAGTTTAAAGCAACTGGATAATTATAAATATAGAATGTTACATCACACCGGGAACATATATATACGCACCTGCAGAAATGAAAGTTTTTATCAAGCCATAGAGTTCGAAGACAGCTAGCAAGAAGCAAGTTATTGGTAAGGAGCGAGGCTAAAACTTGTTTTAGTTTTCTTTGGAGTCTAAACATTTATCCCTTTAGGAGCGGAAAGCACAAATTGCTAAAATTTGTTGCTACAGTTGATTATGTATTCAAAGATTTTTCACTTTGAAGTGCTATTCATGTACACCTTTGCTCCGCAAAGTTTATTTTGAACATCTATATTCAGATTAATTTGCTTCACCCCAACTAATTTTTAACTTCTTTCCTTTCAAGGTATTTTAAAAATTGAAGTCACCGTCAACCATCACAATGGTGAGTAGTTACAGTACTTTGATATACTTGTAGATGCCCATTGTTAACTCTTAATTTAAAATTGCCAATCAGAATAGCGGGGTTATTTTAGTCAAAGAAGGTCGTTGTAAACTAAACAGGGAACCACACTCACACCCTCGGCCATAGGCTTTTTTCAGATATGGAAGTGGTTAGGAATGATCAACGCAATCGTTCTTTATTGTAGAAGGCAGAATGTAAGCAAATTTTGCTGTAATCTACCCTGCTTTACTTGAAACTCATAATGTATTTATCAATATTTCAACTTTGGCCTTCATTTTCTCCACTTCTAGTCCACAAAAATGTTTCATTTTTGCAATTCGGTCAGTTTGAGAGTACATTTCAAATAACCAATTTTATAAGCCTCATCCGTTTTTTTACTTTACAGCAGTTCTGATACCTTAATAAGTTTTTTTTTTAGGTTATTAATTTTATTTTTATATTGTGTTGATACAGTCTATGTCGGGAGTCCAAGTCGATGCTGAAATCAACGGTTTGTTTAACGATATGAAGATGAGAAGCACGCACAAGTTTGCACTCTTTAACATTGAAGGGAAGAAGAAAATTGTTGCTGACTTGTGTGGGAATCCATGCAAAACTGAAACAAAAGAAGAGGATGAAGCACAGTTCAATAGAATGAAGGAGCAACTCACCAATGAGCCACGATACATTTTGTATGATTTTGGATTTATGAAGAAGGACGGCAGGCGACTTAATAAGTTGGCATTCATCTTCTGGTGAGTGAGGCTGTTCTCCGTATTTTTTGGTGACCGCGCATGAAATTTTCCTTTAGTCTCGAGAAATTTTAGGCTGGATTTTACTAGCTCGACAGAGTCAGAGTTGAAAGAGCATTTTATTTTATTAACCTAGTAAAAACAAAAAATCTGAGTGGTAAAGAGAGTTATAGGTGCAACAGAATTGGTAGCGTGCGAGACAGGCGTTTGAAAGGGGAGGGGAAGAGGATTTCGGGCGCGCGAGGGGAGTGTAGGGAACGCCTGCAAGGACGCTATGGGTCTTTTTCGTTTTTCACATCTACCGGAGTGATGAAAAAATAATGATTACCTTTATTAATGATACCTTAATCCGGTTAATTGAAGTCACAATGACATCGCGCTATTTGAATAACTTGATCGATCTACTAATAACCATATGACGAGTGAAGCCAGAATATTATAGAAACTGCAATAAACTCAACGGAGTCAGTCGACGCCGGGATTTGAACCTCGGCCACATTAGTGGGAGGTGAGTGCTCTCCCCCCTGCGTCACCCTTGCTCCCTGAATTGATGTATTACTAATCAAAGTGCATTCATCAAGAGATTATTAAGTAAAAAAGGTGTTGGGACATCTCTTTAGCTTTAGTTTGTATGATGAAGTACACCCTTATTGCCTAGTTCTCATTTCTACTTAGGAACTGTTTATATGACGTGAACCAACCCTGGTCTGTTTGTAGCCTGCGTAGCAAGCGTTTCCAATAGAGTTTTTGCGCGAAAGTTAGAGCGGAAGCGAAAAAAAGGTTGAAGGGGGAAGGGAGGGTTCCTTCGTTCCCCTCCCCCTCCCCCGTCATTCATGTTTTTTTTGCTCTTGTCCCAGCTTTCTAGACGAACCTCGCGAGGAAACGCTTGCTACGCAGGCTAGTCTGTTTGCTGAGATCTTCCTTCGAGCAACCAAGATCTCGGCAAACGGGGCAGCCTGCCTTCTCATATAAACACAACAACAATTTTATACGGAAAAAGAGTATGAGCCGAAGCAGCCCGGTTAACTTAGCTGGTTCATCTCATCTCCCTTTTTTGTTTCAGGTGTGACGAAAATGCAAAGATTGGTGACAAAATGATTTACGCATCTTCTAAAGACACCATCAAAAAGTCCTTCACTGGTTTGTCACTGGAATTCCAAGCAAACGATGAGGGCGATTTGGATTACAAAACTTTAAGTGAAGAAGTGGAAAAAAGAGCTTCATAGATAGCAGACATCAGAACACGACACTCAAGCTTTACAACTTTTCCATATGGTTTTTGTTTATCTGCCGTTCGCCTTTGAGATGACAAGAAATATCAATAACTGCCTCACATTTTCTACCTGTTATCTCTGATCGTCTAGTTGAATCTAACAATGGCGGACGAACATTTCGTAGATAGGATTAATTAAAACCTTTAAATGGTAATTAATCAACATTGTGATACCTTAACTTGGCATTCCTAGGAAAAAAATTGTAGTAGACAATGTTTTTCCTCCTGCCATATTTCGTCGCCTTGGGAACAATCATTTCACAAATAATGGTTACCGGTCGTTTGGATACCAGTTACTCAGTCGAGGTGTAAATAGCTTATTGTGCTTGGCTTCAAAAACAGAGAATATTCAACCCAGATGTTTTTCTTGTTCACGCAAAAACTATACTTGAAGTGATCAAAATTTCTGTTTAATTTTACAACTGCTTGAGGGTCGTATCGAGACAACTTGTATCGAAACGTATAATACTACAGGTTTACTGGTAAGTGTAATAAACCATGCTGGAATATGGGATTATGCCTCAGTATAAAACCAATAGAAAGCTAGCGGGTTAGTTTCTGCTTTTTTCTCGAGTCAAGTCTTCGCGCAGGCGCATTTCCTGAACAGCAGCTGGTTAATAATCTTTGGCTAACAGAAAGTTCAGTCCCTTGTTTTATAGAACAACTGAGTGAAAACAAAAAGATTTTTTGAGGTGAAAAGTTTTTTATAAGTTAAGTAAAAAAATTAACATTCTGTATTAACGGAGTGTCCTTAGAGAGGGTTAAATTTAGAGAAAACATAAGAGCTAAGAGCTAGGAACAAGGAAAACTGTCCATAATAACGAGATGTCTGTATTAAGCGGGTGTCCATAAAGCGGGATTCGACTAATGACAAATTAAAGTAAATAAGGGACACAAAGTATCGGCTCTTTTAATGTTATCATTTTATTCAGTTATTTGAATTGTCATTTTCTTTTTAAATATTAACTGATTTTATAGTATGCCTGGTAATTACTTCATTAAAGATTTCAACACAAAACGCAGTTTTGACAAAGTTACTCTTAGTAGATCTCTTTAGGATTTGGATTGTTAAGTCATCTTTAACGTTCCTGTATTTTAATCAATGTTATGCATAATAAATAATACAACCACCGTATTAGAATTTAAAATGTGTCCCATGTTATATTTCTGTAACTTTGTATGTACTGACTAAGCCTACCCCTTTCATTGCCAGTGTCCATAAGAATTCTGAATTAAATAATATATACACATGTCTGGAACTATCATAGGCATATCATACAACCAGTCAAAGAATCTCGACAATACTTTTTCCCCTTCAGTTAGTACCATTATTTTACTGTTTCACACTATTTTACCAAATGGAATTGGGTCTTTCACCTGAAATTCTCGAACTGCTTTTGTTTTATTTGTTTGTTTGTTTTCATATATAGAATTCTTGAGTACAAAATGGTGTCTTGCCATACATAAAAACATACAAAGTACTAAAATAATATTATATCAATCACCTGAATTTTTAAGCTTACATCCCCTTGCAAAATGTACTTTTTTGAGAGACAGCTTGACTGGGATGAATGTCAAACATCAGTCATTAAATCTGACCTTAAGATTTTTAAAAGCAGTTAGTCCCTGGACTGTCTTGTATGAACTCTGCTTGATATTCTCCACTTTACTACCCCAAGTATCAATTGCAGAGAATGATATGAAGAATACACAACTTTTGAGTCTGTCAAGGTGAATTTCTCTGGCATGATATTTTAAATAAAACCTCTTTTAATTTATTCATTTCGGTAGTACAGCTTGCATGGGCTTGGTAAAAAGGAAAAAATATAATGTAATTTGTTCAGCCATCCAGATTTAATAAGAGCTCTGAAGAACTCAATTAGATTGGAATTTAGAGGTGCTGGTCTGTGAGGTACCTTGAGAAGCAACCTCCTGGCCCAGAACAAGCCGAGGATAAAAACCAACTTCAAACTAAGCCGTCACCTGGCATTGAAACCAGGCCATATTGGTGGGAAGTAAGTGTTCTTAACACTTTTATGCCATTGCCCTCAGCTAGTACTAGTCACCGTACAATCACAAAGCAGTTTATCCAATTATGCAAGGTAAGTAATTCACATTTGTTTGTCATTTTTCACTGTAACGGATGATACGCTGCGACTGTAGGAGAAGCCAATTGTCACGCGGCTAAAACTATTTGTGGCGGCGAAACTCCGTGTGAGCGGGTATATTTTACTGGTCGATCATGAATCAACTACGATCACGAAACTAGGAGCTAGTCCTTGATGGTGATTTTATTGACGATAATCGAACCGTAAACTGAAATATAATGCAACGTAACAAATAATTACTAAAAGCTAAAGTACAATTACAATTATTGTTTGGCTACCAGATAATATAACATTTACGAAAATTCCAATCATATTTTCATTTTCGTAGCTGTTCCGGTATAAAAACCTTGCCAAAACGCATAAGACAAAAGAAATATACTTATTGAAATACAGGAATAATAAATTTACCAACTAGAACATTAGACTACATATACTTCATGAAAGGAATAAAATCAACTAAATTTGGGTACGCAGGAGTCAAGAAACCTTCCCAAAAACAATAATGGTTGCTTCCTGCGAATAATGTTATACTAAGAAACTAACAAAATAAATCTGAGAACGGACTACGTTTGCAAACGCATGAAAACTAAATAAACTAAAAGAAATGAGATTCCCACGCCGAACTAAAAAGTAAAAAACCTACTTGAAACTCAAAAAGGCGTAGTCACGTAATGGTACGAGATACTGAGTATTACAACAACTTCTTGCGGGATATACTTTATGAGTCGTCAGATAGACAAAACTACAGAGGATAAAATGTACTTACATATCGGTTCCCGCTTGCCTCTAAGTACCAAAAAATGAACTATCCAAATAGACTACAATGATGTACACATGAAGACGACGAAATCCAACTAAAGCTAAACTTAAGAGACCATGCGTTTTCTACGTAAAAATAGGCGTTGTCTAAGGAAATGAAACTAGCGAATCAGAAAAGCTTGAGGTGAGAGATATCATGTCACTAAATCAATAAAGCTTGTTGTGATGTCATTTACAGTCACACATGCTTTTAGGTCAACTTTTTCTCAGGATGGAAAACTTAAGTGCTATGTGCTGAAATACAAATTTTATAATAATAATAATAATAATAATAACAATAATAATAATAGTTTCATGATAACAATAAAAGGGCAATTAAAATTAGAGAGCTGTTTTATAATATTATTGTAATCTTGTGTACAGTAGTTAAGTTAAAGTGTAAATTTGTTCATTTTAGTATTTCATTACATCTTCCATTGCTTTTTATGGCAGTTTCTAAGATGATAAATATACAGCTCACAGGTAACACTATGCACCCTGTGTTGCTACGGTGTAGTTAAGCTTTTGGTATCTAGTTGAGAACTGCTCCATAAAACATTGCATAACAATGACACCAAAATCCTGGAAATGTGACTCTTAATCCAGTTTAATACTGTAATAGCTACAGTGTTAAAGTACTCAGGTTCACAACTGAACCTGAGTAGAACCTGAGTGTTAGTGTGGGCCTCGTGGCTTGTGTGTACTTTAAAATGATGAGAGGTGAAAATGAGATTATAAACTAACTTGGTAAATGTGTACTTTTCTTGCTACCCACTATCTAATAACCAAAGAGTGCTCATCTATAACTTAATAATGATAGTTGCCATGAAAAGTGGGACAACTCGCAGATTTTTCTCTAATAATTTATATTGTGTCTCATGACCATGCGTCAGTAGCATCAAATAAAACACAACTTGGTACAGTAAAAATAAAATAGTAACTACATGTATGATTTTACACTTAACAATTTTCAGAACTCAGGATACTTTTACACTACATCTACTTATGGTATACTATGTATGGCATCCACCATTATAATGGTGTACACTCGGACTTTTCTACAACTTTAGGCACTAGTATTATGGCATGTTATTTTTAATATTTTCTGTTCAAATAGTATTTTACCAAAGGTTTAAACTTTCTTTTTTCAAATTAACACTGAAACTTTTGAGCCTTTTGCTACAATACTGACTTTATTGATTAATTAGTGGAGCATGGCGCGCGGGATAAATCATTAAAAAAATGAGTGTTTTCATATCTGATGAAGATATAAAATTTATATCCAAAATCCAAATATAAAATTTATGTCCAATTTTTTAGACCAAACTAGCCCCAGAACTAAATTTTAGTGCTATATAGAACAAGTTGATCTATATCAGAGATTTTGAAACTGTTCAAAACACTTGCAGTCATGTATTATCAGAGTTAACAACTTGAGGTGAAGCGAAAACACTCCTGCTAATTTTTAAACAGCACTAAATCATAATCACAAGAAAAAGATTATAAGAAATAATTAACTAAAAAAATGATTGCCCAGGGAAACTGCTTTACTTTTAACATTATTGTTACAACTAATTATAGGGACACTTATATTAACCTAATACTCACTTGTAAATTATATCTCTTATTAATCCTCCTCTTATACAATATTTTTAATCGTCTTTTAGATCAACTGTTATAGAACAGCTCAAGTTGTCGCAATTTTATACCTATCCCTTTGGTGCATCATTCACTAACCTGGACAATAGTTCATTGCCAGTACTCTACTATTCAGGTGGGGTTGTTCTGTAATTTATCATGAATCTCTCAATCTCCCATCAGGTTACCAAATCTCTCGGATGAAATAAACTTTTGAGCTTTTCTCATTAGTTTGGAATTTAGCCCATGTTGCTCCAGAATTCATAATTTTTTATTCATATAATGTCGTACGGTTTTTGGGACATTTTTGCACGTATTGATTATTCTGTCGTTATATTATTTTGATTACTTTGTCCTTACATAAAAGCAAGTTTTGATGGTCTGAGCCTTAGGTAAGACTTGATATAAA